GCAAGAAAAACCCGCGAGGCAAACTATATGGTCGACAAATGCACACAACTAAATGTAAATAATAGTATAATTATACTTAAATTTGGAGCAAATTACGATGTTACAAGATCCTTTATATTTTGGTATCCAAAATTTAATTACGGTGAACTTGACTCAAATCCATGTAGTCATGTTCATTTTCCGATACGATTCGATTCAGTTCGATTCAAGTCCGTTATCCTCTCCATTAAAATTCAGGCCCAGAGCCTAAACCACTCTTTTGAGATCTGTTCTTTCAGCAAATTTGATTTTCTTATCGAGAACCTTCTTGCACAAGAGCAAAATGTTTACATATGCACATATGTATGTAGTTATGTAAATGTTATATGACAGGTTTTAAATTTTTTTTTTCCAATAACTTACTTTGATAAAATATAACATATTGGTACTTGTAACAGATTGACAAAAATTGATGACAGTAAGGGGTCAGGCAGACATATTATTATTAGTTTTTCAATTATTGCTTGATTGTCAAACCGTGCACACCTAAACAACTATAAGCTGTTGCTTATAGTCCATTCAAATAGAGTAAGTTAACCGAAAATTGTAAAAAATTGCAAAGTGTTTGATTGCTCAATTGCATTTGACAATACAGTTACATGTATGCACACTTGAATATAAAGCTATGGAATACAAATAAGCATTCAAAGAGTAACCTTATGTAAAGTTAATGAGAACGAGCTTTTATTGCCTCCTTATCCCCCCCCTTTTTGTTACGATTCTTTTTGGTAATACAAAAATATTACCCTTCAATTTTTTTTTAAGATTTATAATTTTCTTCTTTTTTATTTCAGTCTCCCTCTTTATCTCTCTCTCTCTCTCTCTCTCTACGTATTTGTGTCTCTGTCTTACTTTCTCTTTCAAATTCACAATGAATCCATCTGGTTTCATAAACGTATGTTATTATACCGCTACAATCCACAATTAAAATAAAAAATTGAATAAAATATACACGAATTTAAATGTCAGAGAGAATTCGAAGTTCGATTAATTTTAATTAAATTTATTTTTAAGTTTTCAAAATTTTCAAAAGGAAATGCCAAATTAAAAGAAAAACAAACGTGGTGGTTTTCTTTATATTTTTACCGATTTTTTTTTGATTTTCTTTTCATTTTAGTGTTTTTGTTTTTTTTTTTTTAATTAAATTAAAATTTGAAAAATTTGATTCTGTTTTATTTTATTCGTTTCCACTTTGATTAACTCAATTATTATGCAGAGGAATAAATAAAAACAGAAACAATTGCTTTTACAGGAAAATTCTTTGTTGTAATCTAGAAAATATGAAATTTCCATTTCAAGGTTTTCATTTACATATTAGTGAATAATGCCATAAAAAAATGCCCCCGACTATATTCCAGATTGTGGTAAATATGCCACAATTAAAATGCACGTTCTTGTATTTTTACAAAACCAACCTTAATCTTTAAGAAAATCTTTAAAATTTTTTAGTCACTAGTGCTCGTAAATGGATTTAATTTTAAAATTAACTTCGCGTTTCAGTCCGCCACTTTTTTTTTATGTTCTGTTATTGTTGCAAATTCTTTGCTTTTACTTAAGTATTTTTAGTTTTTTGCTTTTATAGAGATCTTCTTGCTACGTGTCCGCCCCATTTAAATCTGCTTTTGTAAATTCTTTGTTGTTACACTTATCGGACCCATTGTGTTGATGACTTAATAATTCATTGTTTTTTACTCTTACTACATTACAACACCAAATATTTTATTAGTTAGAAACATAAGCTAAACAATTCTACAATATAAAGCACATTTTTAATAAATTCGTTCTAAAATTACTAAAATATTTTTGGAATGCAAAATCTTATTTCAACACTTAAGGCAAATTATTAATTCTCCAGATTTTTTTGTTTTTTTTTCAAGGAAATTGAATTACCTTCTTATACATATATAAATAAAATTTTTAATATATAGTTTGGGAAATTGAAAACAAATACAACAAAATAGGAAAAATTTTGAAAAAAAAAATTCCCAGAAATGAGAAATAATTTTTGGAATTTTTAAAATTTTCAAGAATATGAAAGTGGTAATAAAAATAATTAAAAATGATGAGTTTTTTCCTCAATTAAAAATAAACCAATTATTTATTTTATCAGCAAATTATAATTTTTTTTATTTCTAACTTTTGACGTAATTTTATTAATCCGTTCCAACTTAAGAATTTTTTACACATTTTGGAATTCAAAATAATCATATTTAATAGAAAAATTATTTTATTTACCTAATTTGTCTTTTGAATTGATCATGTTTTAATTTCACTAAAATCTCATTAAGGATTGTTTCTTACTTTCTATCTGCCCATTAGCAATCTAATTCATACTCTAGGCATTCAATTGTATGCGCGCATACATGCAACTGTATGATCGCATGCAATTAAGCAATCAAACAGTTTGTAATTTTTTTACAATTTTCGGTTAACTTGCTCTATTTGAATTGACGCAATAGTTAAGTTGCTTAAATGTGCGCACAATGATTTTACGATCAAACAGTTTTTGTAAAACTATAAAAATTACACTTCTGCCTAAGCTCTTATTCTATTTTCTGTTTAAAACAAAGTAACAATTAAAACTGGAATTATTTGTGTAAACTGTTAAGGCAAAGACCCAACTACCATTATAGAGTAGGTTCATAATTACATTGAATATTTTGTATATGATATTTGTACATGTATGTGTATAACTTTACGCACAATTGACATTTAATATGCATCAGGTATGTAAAAAATAATCGATTAGATTTTTTTTGTTCACCCTTTTGTAAAAAATCAATTGATGACTTTGATAATGTTTTCAAACATTAAACTTTTTTTCTGTTTTGTTCAAATGAACATTTCTATATAAAATCGCCAATTACAATTGCTACTTCCTGCTTCTATTGAATTCTTCTGAACCCATAAAATAGAGAAACTTCATTATGTATATGGTTTTTTTTTGTTTTTAATACATACTTGGATTGTATTAAGAAGAAAACAAAGAGAAAACTAGAAAAAAATTTAATTTATAATCAGTAATAGTTCGGTTGAATGGGTAATAATAACAATCATTTTTTTATATAAATTTAAACAATAAATTTTACTCCAACAATTGAATTTTTAAATAATAATAATTTAAAGTTTAAAATAAAACAAAAACGAACCTTTAATATAGAAAATTACTATTGAATTTAATCTAAAAAACTTTTCGACAAATTGCTATATTTTATAAATTCTTCTCCCATATTAGAATACGTAGATGAATCAAAAATACATATTTGACACATTAGACATTATATTTTAGACATTATACTTTTATTTGAAACAATATGTATCAAATTTAGTGAGTACCAATTTGAACAATAATTTGAAAAGCAATATGTATCAATTTTCGCTATTATGTTGCATATTTCTCGGAGTAAAAAGAAAAACTAGATTAATTTAGTACAATGTAGTACAACATTCGAAAAGGTGATTTTCTATATTTGTTGAAAAAAAATTGTTTGTAGACATGTAATTACTATAGTTGACAACAAAGCAATTACCGCCACCACTTCTTTGCTTTTGTAGAAATTTGATTTAGAAGGGCTTTTAAAGAAATTTATTAAAGATTTTTTTTATGCAGTATTTTGGGGTAGCAAGGAAATAAAAGGAAACGAGAAAAAGAGAAAAATGCAAACATGTTGTAAAAACTTCAGCTTTCTACGCAATATCGTAAAAATAAAAATTATATTAATTTTTGCCATATTGACAACACTACCGTCATATCATTATTTTATACGTTATATACGAAGAAATCCGCATTTTTACGAAACTTATACATATATTAATTACTCTAGAGTATATAATTTGATCATAGATATTAAAATGTTTATAAAATATTTTATTTCACTTTTATTTATTTATTTAATTCCATAACTCATGAGAGCAGTTTCGCTCATATAGAGTGTAAAGTATAGAGTAGAACGTAATTATAAGCAGGTCAAAAATATTTTTGAAAAATTATTTTTTATAATACTTTAAAATTATAGTAATTGACAAAATTATATTATATTAATCAGTTTGAAGTGAGCAATCATAATTTTACTAATTTATATAACAATTGTAAAATGCAATGATAATAAGCTTATTTATTTAATTTTTCTAATATAAAATCGACTAAAATTAAAGCCTAATTTCTCATAATATTAAGAAAAAACATTTTATATAAAAAGAAAACAGTCGGAATTCCATTAAATAATAAACTCGAAACTTTCGTAAATTAATTAAGAAATGCACATTTCCTAACGTAATGTCGCCACACTTATACGGTATTCTTATGTATTTACCTATGTTTTATAAATAATTGTGTTCGATATGAAAAACATTCACTATATATTATCGTACATAACTGTTTTTTAGTTATTAAAGAAGCACACTCTATTCACATATTTTGTATTCAAAATGATTTTCATTAAATTAGTTTAAGCTGAAATGAAGCTTTACAAAAAATGTCAATGAAATTTCGAAACGCTAAAATTTCGAATTTTCTTACCTTTAAGCTATAATGAAAACTTACATTTTGTTATTTCTCGATGCTGTTATTTGAAATAAATCCATTTTTATTTTATACAAGTTTTATTTTATACAAGTATAAAAATTAATTTCAAATTAATACTGAAATTGAAAATCTCACATATTTCATTTTAATATTAAAATCTTCTAAATTTATATAGAAAATATTCTATTAAGTAGGCTAAAAGAAAAAAAAAAAAAACACTTCTTAAAACTAATGAAAAATGCCAAAAATTTAAAAATAAAACAACAAACAAAACAAAAAAATTAATAAAATAAACAAATTCTCTATAATTTAATAAAATTCCAATATGAAATCTATAAAACAAAGAAAAAATAAAGATAAAAAAAAATTTACACATAATTTAATTTTAGTATACACAGAACATTTATACAAAAACTTCCAAATTTAAATTTTATAGGTGTTTGGTCTCCAAATAATAACGAAACATTCAAAGTACCTTCTGATAATATTATTCAGCACCAAGAAAATCAACAGTTACCAGAACAAAAACATCAAAAGGAACAACAGCAAACTCATCACTTATTAACAACTCCACCGCCACCTCCACCTCCACCATTACCATCCCTATCAATTTGGAGTCCACAACAATCACCGCAACAATCACGAAAATTTCGTCCGGTCAAATTTCAATCTCCGACACTTCAACGAAAATATGTTCGTGAAGGTTCACAATATGTAAATCCCCCATGGATTTCAGATGCAAATACTTACAACAATAAAACAAATCGTTTACAACAACAGAAACAACCATTTTCAACAAATTCGATTTCAGCATCTGATTTTGCAGGAACTCAATCACTTAGTTGTTCCAGTTTAAATAATATTGAGAATAATTGCAATAGATTCAATAATAATTTAAATCATAAAAATATTAATAAATTTGGATCAACATCATCATTAAAAGGTGTTAAAAAATTTCCATTTCAAAAGAAACATGATCGAAACTCATTATTTCTTTTTTAAAACAAAAGAGAATTTTTTTTTCTTGACTTATTATTTAAAAACTTAATTGATTATAATGAAAATAATATTATAAATGTAAAGTAAAAATCAACTGCAATTAAATATGTTCATGCAATTTAATATAGATAGCGCAAATTTTTAAAAATTCATTTAAGAATTTGAATTTGACACGCTCTGTTGTGTATTTGAGCGCAGCTGGTTTCTCCTACAACAAGCGTTTCGTAATTTTTGTTATGACATTTAAATAAGTCATTTTTTGACAAATTGGGCTTGTGTGCATGCATACAATCCATTTTCCTCTTTTATTAATTTATTAAATTAAATTGAATTTTTTACATTTTTGATTTGAAGTTCTAACTTGTATTGAGACTTCATATTTTTCTACATTTTTTTTGGGATTCTTCTTCTAAATGTATGCATACACATTTATATTACAATTATAATTTTTATTATTAGCCGTTTCGTAGCATATCAAATGCAAGCAACTGAAGTTATTTTTGAACTCCAACGTAACATGACGTACGCTTCATAATTTCCAAAATACGTTGCCAAAGCTACTGATTATTTAATTTTTTTTTGGATTTGTTTAAAAATTAATGCAAAATTAATTTTTAAATTCTGGCTGAAATTGCAGATGATTGTCATTTGCCAAGTTCACCAAATCTTTGACATACCGGAAAACACAGTTTTTAATGTGAATCTCTTTATATTTGTTGCTTCAAGAAGTTTCAAAACTTTTGAAAAATCGTGTAAAACAGTTCTAACCAGCATGTCAGCTACATACTTCTTATTTTTAAAACGAAAATGATAAAAATGTCAAAACGTGAAAAAAGTAATTTAGCTTCTGTTGCTAAAATAATTAAAAAAATTGATGCCATTCTTAACATTTCAAGAACAAAAAATTGGACAATATTAATTACATTTTACTTTATTTTAATATTATATTTCATAAAGTTTTAAATAAAAATTCAATGAAAAAAAAAATAATAACGAAAATCAAAAATAATTTTGTAGGGAAAGAAAATTTACAGAGTGTTCATTCGACTGGTTTTATTAAACCGAATGAAGTAGGTGAGTTTTGCTATAATACGAAGAGAAAAATGTTATAAAAAGAGAAATTTTCTCTTCATTTTCATTTATAATTTTATTTTTCCTTTTAATTCACCACATTGTTGTAGATTTTTTTTAACGATTATTTTATTTTTATTTATTTTGTACACAATATGTTTATTTTCTAAACGATATTATTTATTTATTTAAATAATTATTAAGTTTAAATTATTTAACAATGTTGAATCACTCATTATAATTTTGTTGAAGTTTTGATCACACTCAAAAAAAAAAGCAGATTCAATTTGATTGCTCGTTGTTGTTTTTCTTTCGGACTTTTTTTATTTAAATGGAAGAAAAACTAAACTAAATGATTTTTTTTTTGAAATCTTAATTTTATAATAATCGAAACAAGTTTTTATGAATATTTTTATTTTATATTTGTTAGAAATACAATTGTTTATAACGTACCTTATATACACACACATACTTTAATTAATACATTATATATACACACAGAATAATATTTTTACTATTAAAGATTTATTTATTTATTTATTTAGTTTTTTTATGAGTTCTGTTTAGACGAATTAAAAATTATTTGAAACAAAAATTAAAAAAAAAAAATTATTTGTTAAACTCGAAAACGATTAATAATGTTAAACGAAAACTATATATACAAAAAAATTAACTTAAACCTATTAATTATAATAAGTGAAATAAAATTAAGGATACGCATTTGATTAGACTTTTCTTTCACATGTCCTTGCATCATAGTGCTCAGTTCACAGAATTTAAACGTTAATCTGTTTCATATATGAATAATTACTTCTATATACATATATATTTACTTACGTATATAAAAAATTCAGCTGTAAAGAATCTCCAATCCTTTTAGATAGTCCAATTGACGCAATATCATAATTAGTACAATTTAAAACTTCTAATTCTTATAAAAAAATGTTGTAACTCCTACTGCCATGTAGCGGCGTTCTATTTAATGGTATATAGCACACTAAACTACTCCAGTATATTTGGGAGTAGTTTTTAAATAGAATACTGTTTCGTATAAAATTAAAATATAAAATTAGTCAACAAGTCTATAAAATTAAAATATAAAAATATAAAGCCATCCACCTAGAACAAATTTACATTACTAACTTCTTAACTACTTTTTCATATAGTCTGGTATCATCGAGAATTCTATATACGAGTATGCTTAAATGGATTTCAATTATTGCAACATTGTAGATAAGAAAGGAGGTTGGGAATAGATGTTTAAAACAAAATTGAGTTTTAGTTATTGAATTAAAATTTTATAGTTAAAACACAAAATATAAGATAAACAATAAAAAATTTGACTTTCAAATAGATTGGAAACAAGGTTCCTAGCCCAAAAATTTTTGTTAAGCTACGAATTTTAAGTCAAGTACATTTTTATAGCATCAAATTAAAGTTTATAACTTTTTTATAATATAATGTTATTAGTAAGTGTTGTGATTATACTTATACTTATTGTGTTGTTATATATGACGTTCTATCCATTTTTAAAACTAAATTGATCTATGACTTTAAGCTTAAGTAAATTAAAAATTTATGTATTTCCGTTTGCAATACTTTTCAATATGAAAAATTCATCATTTACTTTGAAATGTAACGGAATTTTTTCTTAGATTGCTACGACATCAAACAACTTTTTCAGATTACGGACGACAATTGGAAGAGTCACAAATTTATTAAAAAAATTTAAAACAACTTTTCAATTTATTAATTTTTTACTTTAAAATTTGTCAGTTTTTTTAAGCTATTTCGAAATCTATAGAAATTTTTATATGCCAATTGTTTATTTATAAGAAACTGTCCCCGAGAGATTTAATAAGATGCAAGTTCCGCGCTATAAAATACTTTTTTGAAAAATTTCATTTTTAAAAATCAGATTCAATTACATTGACTTAATCCTAAATGTATACTAAATTTTGTATTAAATTTAGAATCAGAATATAACTTAGTCACTTGAATTAAAAAAATTTAACATCTAAAAAAAAGTACTATATTGCAGTGGCGAAGCACATTATACATATATATACATATACTCTTTCATATAAGAGTAAATAATTTGAATAATTTTGTACAATTTAGTCCAGTTTTAACATTCATGCATTTAGATAATCAATGTTCCACAAAATTTTTGCTATATAAATATAATACATTAATAAACTTTTTAAGTATAAAAGTTTTTAAACATATATATGTATATAGCATGAAATTTAATTATAAATAAAATCCTAGACGCATTTTTTGGAAAATAAAATATCATTTAGCTATTATTTACTACGTACGACCCTTTAAATCAACAATAATCAAACCAATTATAAGTTTTGCAACTTTTTCGGTTGCAATAACTAATTATCAATTAAATAAAAATACAGATAACCTTCAAGAAGTGTCCAGTCTTCTGTACCCAATGAACAGTGTCCCGTCAATATGCCAGCTACTCAATTCAATCTCGATCGTTCTTGGACCACAGGGTTCCTGTCATTGCACAAACACGGTCGCCATCCCAAGTTTCTCTTCCTTCGAGTTTCCTCATCTATAATTTTTTAAAGTTTTCAGTTCCTCAAGAGGGGAAGCACCAGCCAGTTCATTGTCGCAATGTCCGCCCTTACCCTGGATCACTCCAGTTCGTCGGACTTACTCCCACTTGCTTCGCATTAACCATATCCCGCAACCCAGCACAAGCTTAATATACATAGTCCGCATAAAAACCTTATGATTTTCCTGTACCACTCCACCAACCCAGATTTCACAGTTCAGGAACCCAGCGTTCCAAGAACACCCCTGTTGTCCACTTAAATGGTGCCTGACAGGCATTTCCAGTCAGATTTCCTCATAAAATACTTTTGGCTAATTCCCACTGGATGTTTTAGAACCTTTAGCGTAAATAGGAAGACTTCCGGCCAGCTGAGAACAACCTTAAAAATCTTTTCTTTCCGGAATCAATATGTCGCAATCCACTGGACCAAGTCCGCAGATACCCAACATCCAACCAGTACTCCTTTAGATTGTAGATTCTAAGGGAACCGAGTGGGACAGGAGTAACCCCCCAAGCCACCGCAGCCATTTTTGACTTATTGTAGCCCCCCACTCTCCCGTCTATAATATCCCCGTCCCAATCAGAAAGCCGAAGATACCCCTTAGGGAGTTGGACAACAGTTCCCGAACACTTAAGGACCCATGTACAAGACAATTGCGGCGCCGAACAGCCAATGCCGGACAGTCGCAGAGAATGTGCACGGCGGTCTTATCGCCACCCCCACAAAATCTACACAGAGGGGAGCCCGACTTCCCCAGCCTATGCAGGTGGTACTTCACTGGGCAGTGCCCCGTGAAGAAATTCGCAATAGTGCGAACCCGGCTCCTGCTCATCCCCAGCAACTCCGCGGCGAATCCGCCGGAGCACGCCGAAAGAAACACTTTCGCATGACGGCACCCTTTCGTGTCCCGCCAGTGACGGCCGCATTCCGCCACGAGCAGGCAGGCAAGTCTGGCCCCCACGGCGGAAGAAGGCAGACCGCAGAAAGGCAGCGGTCGCACAAAGGCAGCCCCAGATCCCCTCCGCGCCAGCTCATCGGCAACTTCGTTGCCCGCATGGCCACTATGGCCCGGCACCCAAATGAGCGTCACTCTGTTCTCCGATGCCAATTCCACAAGTGCAGCAAGGCAGCTCCAGACCAGCTTGGATGTAACCTAAGCTGAACGGAGCGCCAGCAGTGCAGCCCTGCTGTCTGAGAACACATAGATGGTGCGGTTTCCAAATTGATTCTCAGACAGATCTCTATTGCATGTATTTCGGCCTGGAACACTGTGCAATACGGGTCAAGGGTTGCACATACACGCGTGGTTTGAGCGTGTGGAATGCGGAATCCGACTCCGTTTTGGACCCGTCCGCATTCCACACGCTCAAACCCGACCTAAGTACCGGACCACCCCGAACCCACGTCCATCGATCGGGAAACAGAACCCTGTACCTGTGGTCGAAGTTGTACGGCGGCAGACAGGTATCCGACATGGTTGTTCTTAGAATCGGATCGCTCTCAATGAAGTCTCTGTGAGTTCTGTGGGCCAACTTTAGCCCTGCCCCGTCCTCGCCAGAGAGAAGTCGGTAAGTCACTAGCCGAGCTTCCTTCAATATATGGAGCTGCAGTGGCGGCAATCCGATCATCACCTCCAATGCAGCGGTGGGAGCCGTCCGCATCGCCCCGGTCACTCTCAGGCAGGCCAGCCTATGTAGCTTTTCCAGCTTGGCCCGCACACCCGCCTGCTGAGCCTTACGGCACCATACAATCGACGCATAGGTGACGATTGGCCTAGCAAGGCCCTAATTCCCCAGGTCCCCCCGATGAAGCTCCTACACGTCCACAAGGCCGCCGTAGCTCTCCCGATAATTCTATCTATATGGGTACTCGTATTCCAAGAGAGACGATCATCCAGGGTTACCCCCAGATACTTCACCTCTCTCCAGTAACTAATACGTTCACCAAACAGAATTGGGCTCGTTAATCTGTCCCTGCTTCTGCGTCTGGTGAAGGCGACCAAAGTGCTCTTGCTTGGATTTATATTTAACCCAACGCCTTTGTACCACCTTTCCACAACACGTAAATTTTGCTGTAGAAGATCAGAAATAGTGCTTTCAAATTTTCCCCGAACGACGAAGGCCACATCGTCGGCGTATCCCCAGACACGCGCCCCGGAGCCCCTGAGAGCAGCGATTAGATCATCCACTACAATGGACCACAGGAGGGGCGAAAGAACCCCGCCCTGCGGACATCCTTTTGCAGCGGAGATGAAGAGTATATCGTCAGCTATGGTGGACTTAATAATCCTATCCTGTAGCATCCGATTAACCCATCTGCTAGTCGTCGCATCAATCCCTCGTTTGTGCAACGACTCACAGATGACATGATATGGGGTGTTGTCAAAAGCTCCCTCTATATCAAGGAAGCAGCCAACTGCCACCTCCCGCACTTCCAGTGAGTTTTCAAGGACCCCCACCAGACTCTGCAAAGCGAGTACAGTAGACCTTCCCGACTGATAGGCGTACTAAGATTCATGCAAGGGATTGCTTCCCAGTGCATCGTCCCGTATAAATCTATCAATCACTTTTTCCATTGCTTTCAATAGAGAAGAAGTAAGGCTGATTGGACGGAAAGACCTTGGGTGGTTGCTTGGTCGCTTACCCACCTTCGGAATATACGTCACTTTAGCCACCCTCCATGCCTGAGGGATGTAACCCCACGCATAGTTGGCACGAAAAATTTCCAACAGTGCTCTAGCGATATGTTGGAAACCCTTCTGCAAAAATGCAGGATATATCCCGTCATCACCTGGAGATTTGAAGGGCCTGAAAGAGAAAACAGCCCATCTAATCCTGCCCATCGTGAAGACTAGACGGGATCGTTGCCAGTCATTCTTCTGGGCCAGGATGCCCTCGGTTCGATGACCGCATTTGAGTGATTCCGAAGAATCTCCGAGTCAGGAAAGTGCGTTGACGCCATAAGCTGCAACGTCTGCTTTCCGTTCTCAGTCATGGAGCCATCAGGACGTTCCATTAGGTCCAACCCGCTAGCATACTTTTTGGAAAGCACCCTGTTAAGACGCGCACTGCTGGAGAGTTCATCAATGCCCTTGCAGAACGCCCTCCACGAGATTCTCTTCGCTTTCCTAATTTCTTTATTGTATTTTGTGAGTGAGTCCTTATACTCTTCCCACGAACCCGACGCCTTGGCCTTATTGAATAGCTTTCTGGTCTTTAGTCTAAGCCATGAAAGCCCTTCATTCCACCACGGGCACTTCCTATTGCTCCGCCTCGGCTTAGCGCGGCAGCTCCCGTGATAGGCATTAGTAATAGCCGCCGTCAGGGCCTCGCTGGCCAGTTCGATATCCATCACCGTTCTGACAGAAGCAGGAACGGATCCAATCGCATCCATGAGGAGCGTTTCGAATTGACTCCAATCTGTGGATTGGGGCACCCGATAAATTTCTTCTGCCAGGCCCCCGGAGACCATGATATCAAACCTAATCTGCCTGTGATCGGACATGGATGTCTCATTTGAGACATGCCATCCACCAACCCTACTGCCGATAAATTCAGTGCAAAGGGTGATGTCAAGGACCTCTTCCCTAATTGCATTTATGAATGTCGGCCTATTGCCCTCATTCATTACCATTAATTTATTGCTATATATAAATTCAAGTAGGCACTCACCTCTTTTGTTTATATTGCTGCTTCCCCAGACGGTGTGGTGGGCATTGGCATCACTTCCTATTATAAGTTGGAAGTTCCTCCTTCCACAGAAGTCCACTAGATCCTTCAGTTGCTCGTCCGGGTGGGCACAGTCCCCCGAGAGGTAGGATGAGCACACAATGAACTCTGTCCAGCCCCCGCAGGACTTAACTTTCACCAACGCAGCTACTTGATCCTTAGAACAGTAATCTGGAATGGGAAAATACGTTAGCCTTTTACTAAACAAAATGCAAGCCCTAGGCCTGCCCCCAATAGTATTATCATACAATAGCTCACCTGTTAGGCCCTTAACCTGATCCTTCACTATGTAAGGCTCTTGGATAAGGGCAATATCGAGGTAATCCTTCATAAATCTATGAGCTAGAACATCAGTAGATGCCCTAGCATGCTGTAGATTTATTTGGATGCACCTCACAGCCATATCATTTCCTCCGGCTCTTGTCTATGGGCTTTGGCCCTTTAGACAAAGGCTTTACATGAGCCTTACCTCCCATTGCCGCCTTTTTACACATCTTGGTGGGCGCCTGCCCTGCCACAGCCTCTTTTGCCGTCCCAGGTGCCACGCTAGCCCCTTCAACAGCAAATACCGAAGCAGTTCCGGGCTTCCCAATGGGCTTGAGCCCTTTTGGTTCCCCCGGGACGCTTGTATTTGGCGTGCTGGTTGATGGTCCTTCCGTTTCCCTTGCCGCCATTTTCGGAGCGACTTCAGACTTTCCAATGAGTTTTGGCTCTTTTGGTTGGCCTGAAGTGCTCGTCGTTGTCGCGGTGGGCATTGGTTTTTTATTTTGTCCTGCCCTGCCGCCAGCACCTTGAGAGGATTTTCTTCCTTTAACCCGAACGGTAACACGAAAGAAATTCAGGAAAAGTCGGAGCCCCGCTTTCCTTAGATCTTCCAATCCGGAATCATCCACGGAAAAGGTGATGGAGCAGCCCCCTTCCTTTTCCTTATCCATCCTCAGCACCCTCCAGGAACTTATCTTGAAGCCGGGATTTTGCTTCCCTATCCTACTTAGGAATTTGTCCCTGGAGAGTACTCCTCTAAATTTCTACCGTAAATATAGTTATTGGGCCTCAGAAAGTCCGCCGCATCAAAGCACTCTTTGCTTCCACCAAATCATCTAACAATTCATCTACCAATTTTCCAATTTATCTACCATGTCCAAATGAAATAAGATTTCCAAACTCCTGGTTGGCGCTGTACTGAGTACCCCCGTCACTGCAACTCATGCCAAACTCTGCATCTTCTTCTACTTTTTCAACCAGCTGAACCAACATACATCAATTCCCCGTATGTGTGAATAGGTCTCAAAACACACATGTATACAACCAGTATGATAATCAGGAGCTGCCCCTAATTTCTGCCCGCACCCCTTCCACAAACCAAGGTCACAGATAGTTGACTTTAAATTTGCCTTGAGTAAAAAGGGATAAAATCATATTATATTATTACATATAATGGAATTCAAAGTACCTGTACAAACTGTTCTTGCTACCTCGAAAATGTAATTTTTTTTAAATATGCACAATTTATCTTGGATGTGCAAAAGCTTTGTTTTGCTGTATTATTCAGCAGTTATAACTGGAAAACTACATTGAATATTAATTTCTTTAATACCGCAATTTTGAAGTTGGGGATTATTTTTCTTCACCTGCATCCTCCATGGTTCCATCTTTTATTTTCTAAAAATGCGTTGTAATTAAAATAAATGTGTTTTTTTTTGTTTTAACTAGTTTAGACTTCAATTTCACTTTTTAAATGTATACCTAAAAAGAATATGTAGATGTTAACATTTTTCTTTTATATATTGTATAATAAATTAATTGTACAAATTAATTACAAATTAAATAAACATATGTAATTGTATTTTTTAAAATAATTTTTTATAAACTTTGTACGTTCTCAATTTAGGTATTAAAAAGTTTACAAATCAACAAAGCCAGTTTTTAAGTGACGGTAAAAATAAACTCTATGAATGGAAAAAGAAAACAAATTTATTTATTTCTTTTTTTGTTTTAAATTTCCTATGAAGATTTTTTTTAGTTAAAATATTTTATTTTTATTTCACTTCAATTAATTTTTATAATTTTATAAATTTTCATTCTTCAAATATCGCAAAACACAAAAAATATTGGATATTGAATTTAATTACGTTTTATTTTTTTTTATTATTTTCTGTTTCAAAATTCAACAAAATTTGAATTTCATATACATACATACATACTATATATAACTAAATCGAAAAAAATTCTAAACGATTAAGAAATTTAAAGTTACACTAAAGCTACAAACAAAGTAAAACCATCAGACTTTCAATGTAATTTTGCGAAGCCATTGAATACCAGCATTCCTTTTATGAAAGAATGACTAACTTTCATTATTTTATACACAAAATTTTTAATAATAACATTAATTATTTTTAATAATAACAATAATTTACCTAATTCCAAAATATAGTTTAAATTCAAAATCATCCTTCAAGTATGAAAATCATATTTCGCATAGTTTTGTTTCAGGTTTTCACAAGTTTTTAAAATTAAATTTTCATAAGTCTCATATTTGCTTTAGCATGTGCGCGTGCTTCCAAATAACGCATAATAAAATTAATTTAAATATTTTTCTTAATTGAATAAATTTTAAACAGTTATACAAAATTACGTATTACTTATATATGTATGTCATGAGTGATAGTTTTATACACATAAAATTTTGACATGTCTTACAAAAGTTCAATTTATTGGGAATATTGAGCGTGCAAAGAAGTGTGAAGTGTATTTTACACAAATGCTGAAAATTATCAATTTGAATATACACGGATACATACACATAGTATATTAAAATTCATATGCACAGACATACATAAATGTAGACATTTTTAAAATTTTTATTTAATTTGATTGCATGTGATTTGAGATTTTAAGGAAATAACTTGTTTATTTTTTTATAAATAGCATAACTAAAACAAAATTTACCAAAAAAAAATAAGTCTCAGTCCTGCTAATATAATTCATTACTCCTATACGTATATAAGTTAGCTGACTTGTTGTTTTAATTGCCATGTACCGTATAGATTCAGAAACAATGGTCTGCAAATTTCATTTTCAAGCATTTTAAATTTGGGTTGTTAATTTCAAAAATTTAAAATTTTAAAAACTCGTTAAAATAAAACATAACATTATAAGATTCGAATAGAAGTAACATTGAATAAAAGTGACTCTTACTGACATAATTAGTAAGATCCGAAGCAAATTTATAAACACAGATTCAATCTTCGAAAAAATGAATATAATGAAAGAGTATAATATACCTACAAGTATATTCTGTAAAAAAATTTTTTTTATAATTTCAGTTATAAAAAATAGTATATTCATAAAAAAATTTGCAATATGTTCATAGGCTGTCAACGTTTGTCAAATTAAAGTTGAAAACTGTTATACTCATAATATACTCATAAAAATTACATGTTGAATTTCTAAAATAACTCCAAATTTTTCTTGCATAATCTGATTGATTATTCAACACAAACCTGAAACAAAACAATAAGAACAATTTGATTTACAATTTTTGTGATTTAAAAACTAAGAAATGTTTTACAGTGTTTGTAGCCTAATGTGTACAATTGATACACACATAATTTTACAAAATTGTAGTTTTTTAGAAAATAATCAAATTTCAATTTCATCAATTTCATTCTTTTAAGTTCTTTTTCTAAACTATCAATAAATTTTTTTATTTAATTTTTATTTTTTAAATTTTCTCGAAATTCAAAAGTTTCGTTGAAAACTTTTTATAATTGAAAAAAAAATAAATATAAAAAAAAAATTATTTCCAGTTTATTCTCTTAAAAGTGAGTACTTAAGTGAACCAGAATTAAATAGCGGACATCCAAAAAAAATGGCTCAACTTGCTCACAGACAAATTGAGGGTATAGGACCAACAACCAAAGACGGAATGCCCATAGTTTTAAGATCGGTAATGATAAATGATCATATTTTTACACAAAAAACTGCACTAAAGGTTTTGAAATCTTGTTACAAAGCAGTTTTTATACAATGTTGAAAATTAATTAAGTGTCTTTTAAACAAAAAAAAATGATTTCTTTCTCTTTCTGTTTCTCACTTTTTATCTACTTATTTACATACATATATGGAATATATAGGAAGTAAAACAGAACAACCAGCACCAATGGTACAAAAAAATGTTTCAAACTCTTCATAAAGCCAAAGATAATGGTAATATTTTAATTTCGAACAACTCAAAAATAAAAAAAAAAAAAATAATTTTATATGCATAATTAAATATTAAAAAAATATAAAATGTAAAAACTTACAGTTCACATAAAATATAAAAATTAGTAAAAACTGAGTGCTCCTTTACACATGTTACTCCACGCTATAATATGTCGCACACGGTTTATGGACGTACTATTATTAGTGAAGCTTTCCTTTTAAGAACAAGAATGAAAATGTAACAAAATACGGTGAAATGAGAATGTATGTACTTGCATATGCAGTTTCACACACAACAGTTCAATTTTCGCAACTATTTGCAATAGTTTTGCCAATGATCCAAACATTTACTTACAGTTTTTATACACCAAAGTTATTTTATATTTTATGTGTACTGTAGCTTTAATAAATTATAGATCAAAATTTAAAAAAAATCATTTCGCCTGATTAAATAATTGATTAATTAACTCAATATGCTATAAAAATTATGTTGAACATCAAAAATTGGGAAAGATTTTTTTTTTTAATAGTAACATTAATCGAAAATCGTTGCTTAATTGATCATTTGTCGAAATTCCAAATTTTCGAACACTTAATAAATGGTTTTTCACTAGTTTCAGTTCAAAATTAAATTCACAGCGTTATCGAAAATTTTTAATCAATTAGGCAGTGACGACTTGCATTTACTTTTCAATTGTTGTAGTTTATAAATTAAAAATTAAACAAACAACACCAAACGTATGCAACTACTGCAATGCGAGTTCATAGTATAATAAAATAAAGTTTAACTTAAATTAAATAAAATCAAGGCTACCGTAGGGTCTGGCCTTATACTTATATTCGTACCAAAAACCGATAAATACTAATTAATTTCGCCAAACATGCGCATTATAAGCTCATGTATCTGTGCTGTGACGCGGAACGTTGAAAAGCTCGATCGACTGAGATTCTGTCTATAAGAAATTCGATCAAATAAAACCGGGGTAACCACGTTGGTGAAAGAATTCTATATCAGAACCGTACCACAACGAAGCAACACTACTACAAGACCTAAGGCCTACTTTGATAAAGAGGCAGTCTGAACGGATCCGACCAATCCATACCACAAAGAGGAAAACGAAGCAAATGCTTCTCCACAGCCTCCATACGATCTATATCAACATTACGAAAATAATTCACCCTATTAATCATAAATTTGAGATGGGCCTTAAAATCGAGTCTACCTATTCCAGAAATCGGTCTACCTATTCCAGAATCTTTTCACAGCTATTGATTTCAGATGGTTGTAAATGAGGCAGTTGTGAAAACATATATTTCTAAACTAAAGCAATTGAAAATCTGTATGAAGCTATAGATATCGAAAATTTACAATAATTTGATTTAAAGATTTTTAAATTTTTATAATTTGGAATTTGGAACTTCGACAAAAACTTTTTACGCCTTGTATCTTTTTTTATTTAATATTCTATCCCTTTCTTTTTCTTTCATACTTTTCTTTATTTAAAAATGGAGTTAATTAACGCTTTTTTCTTTTTTCTTTGGAAATTTGAATGACAAATCAATGAAAAATTTTTTCAGATGAAAGCATCGTTATTCGTTACAAGTCGCCCAAAGGTGATGAAAAAATTTTTGTTTTTTTTTTTCATACATAATATATTTTATTTAAATAAATAAAAATTAATTTTTTTTTAATTTTTTTGATATGCTTGTAGTATTTCTTAGTATACTGTATAATTTTTTGTCTACATTATAATTAAGTAAAAATATACTTATATAGAATGTGCATGTTTAAAAATTTCTAATTCCCATACATAGGGATGTAGGTATATTTTTTACACTATGTAAACAATTTACATACTTACATACTGATATCATAATTTACTATATTGTTATTTATTGTATAGCATGGTAAAAATGAACACTAAATTAAGTTTGTGTATTTAAGTATATACCTATTTAAATATACGTATGCGTAATTATATGTACCACAATTTCTGGTATATAATTTTAATGTTTTGGTATACAAGTAAATTTTAAATAAAAAGAATTGTAGTATTTTCTAAAAACCCAAGAAGAAGTAAACTGCATCCTCAACTGCGTTAATAAAATTTTGGAGAGTCATGATAGATATAGTTCATATTTTCTCTAAAACTTTTCACTTTAAAACTTTGCTCATATAAATTTTAAATGTTATACTAACACAAATATATATTGTATAAGAATAATTACTTATACATTAAAATTAAATAATTAAATAAATAATTACTGTTGAAAGCTTTTTAAGGACTTCTTTGATTTGGGAATACTTAAAGAAAGAGACACCTGAATTATTTGAAAAACAATTTGAAATATAAAAAATTTTTGAATATAAAATAGTAAACGTCATATTTTGATTATGTCAATCAAAATGATGTTGTATTCTATCAACTGGAAATAAAATTAACTGCACAAAATTCTTGTCTTAATTTCAAAAATTCATTTGTCAAATATAATTTTAACAAAATAAAGATTAAATTCAACTTACATATAAAATTTAAATACAACGAACTATACGTCAGTCAATTATGTTTGTCTGTTTAATAATTTTGTCATTTTTGTTACATATTTAAACTTTAAATCAAACAAAAATATAAAATAATAATTTTCGAAAAAGCCTATCAGTAAATTCAAAATGCTTAGAAAATGTCAATCGTTTTACTGTCAAATTGGGCTTCTACATTGTATTTATTTACGTATCAATTCTTATATAAACAGAATATACGTATGCAATGTCAAAAATTTTAATTAAATTTATGATTTTTCGATAATTATTAAAAGAAGTTGACCCACCAAAATTTATAAATTTGGAATGGCGATTCTTCAATCAAATAATTAACGCTTAATCGAATAATAGTTAAAAACTACACTGACTAATTAATTGTACAAAAAATTGAACTTTTACTGGACTAATTTTGAATTTTTGAAAATTATGAATTAAAATTTTTATTAAATGTTATAAAATGCTATGTAGGTATACATGTATGTTACTTTGTAAATATATAATATTAAAACTTGTTTTGGCAGCGCTCTCTATTTTTAAATTGTCATTATTATTTGTGAAATTTATTATTTTTTAAAATTGTTGTTTGTAAATTTTTTTAAGGTAAATTTTTAAGATCTTTTTAAAGCACTAATATTAATTGCAGCTTTTCTTATTTTTATTTTCACTATATCACTAATAATAAATATGAACATATATACATACATTCACGTAATTTATCATTACAATGTGAAGGGTGTTTGTTGGGTATTGAATTAGCAAAAAGCACTTGAAATAGCCTAGCACTTATATAATTAATTGCATTCACTTATATTCACAGAACAAAAGTTTTCTTTCTTTTTTTTTATTTTTATTTCTTTCAATTAATTTTGCTTACTTTTTTGTCAAATCGTTTTTAGGTCGTTATTCATATAAATCGAACGGGTATATGTCAGAGCCCGAACCATATTATGATTCCGATTATTCTAGTATGAAATATAGATCTGTTGAAAGGAAACCACGAACGATATCAGCTTCAAGCTCGCAAAACGAAAGGTATGTATATACCAGTTTCCAAGTATTATGTAATTTACATAAATTAACAATTGATAAACTAGGATTTTTATACACACAAAATATTGAATTAAAAATATATTTTTATATGATTTAATTTTTAATATTTTTTTCTTTTTTAAAACAGAAGCTACGGTACATTACCAAACCCAGTGAAACCAGGCTCTGATCCATACAAAAATCAACCAGGAAAAATTGAAAATTTTACACCTGGTCATTCATCTGTTTCAGAAAAAGAGAGAAAAGATGTGAGTTTTTTTTTCAACAATTTTGAGTTTTTTTCTCCACAAATTTTACTCGAACAAATTCATTGAAAACGCTATACAAGTTTTATATCTAGCATTATATACTCAAAAAAATGAATAACAGAAGAAAAATCGCAATTTAAAATAAATTGCAAATAAAATTTTTTGGTTAAATAATTACGAAATCGAATGGCAATATTTTAACGTGAAATAATTTTCCAACTTCAGTATATGTATATATATTTTGAATTTCTAGGAAGCAAATTAGTTGATATTGATGACTGAGAATATGAGCCTCTATTTTCGCAATACCTTAGTATAATAAAAGTAATGATTTTCTAGATGACACGAAGATCTAAAACAAAGAAAATTTATTACAACTTATTGAAGTGGACTTAAAAGAATTCTGGTACATACCTACCCAAATTCGGCTCTTACATTTGTAGTAGTCTATCAAAACTCACAAAAATCTTAGAAAGTCTGTAGAAATATGAACAATTGAGCAAAAATATCAACACTAATCACATAAATTATAAAAATGTTTATTTTCAATTGTATAATGAGCAGACAAACTATAACAAAGCTTTTATGCAACCATATGCTCACATTTTACTAATCTGCCAATTTTTGTCTCCGTCTCCGTTTTTGCTTCTCGATCGCCAATTTGGTTTATGTAATTAAAATCAACCTAAAAATAAAAGTGAAAATATTAATTTAACTTAATTTCAAAATTTATTAAAAATCTCAACAAAAAATTAAAAGAAAACACGTTTGGATTTTGTCATTTTGTTTTATTGTGTTATTGCAAAGGAGAAAACCAGAACCAGTTTTTTTCATATTTTTTAAATAATTTATTTATTAATTTTAAAAACACTCTTGCTGATACAAAAAATAAAAAAGTTTAAAAATTTGCACCAAAATAAAAGCAAAAATATTTTAAAATTTTTTTTTAGTGGTGGGACGAAGTCATGGACATCTTTAACGGGGTATGCAAAAATGTTTAATTTGTTTTTTTTTAATAAATTTGATTTATTACAATTTAAAATATAATTAGCCAAAATATAAACACAAAGGAACATATTAATTAACAATTTTAAGTTAATAAAAATAATATTTTAATTTATAACTAATTAATCCGGTTATGGGAAGTTTTATTTTAATACATTGATTTATGCTTAAAAATTTTATAGACGCTGTAAATTTCTTGCTCTTCTATTGAGTAAGAAGTGAAAAAAAAATCTTTGTAAACATTTTTGGTATACCTTTTATATAACAAGGCATCCTGTTTTTCAAACAAAAATATTTAATTTTTTTTAACCAATGTGACTTTATTTTAACTTCTGAAGAACTTTGTAAACTAATAATATAGTATATTAAACTGTTATTTAACGTTATTCTCATATTTGACTTTGTAGAATCCCTTTTTTCAAGAAATTTTGAAAAACTTTTCCGAATACTTTTAAATACTTTTTAAATTCTCTTATATAAATAAATTGAAATGTCTCAAAAAGAGGTTTGGAAAAAAATTGCATGACTTGTACGAATGATGGCGTTGTTCATGAAAACTTAAAATATTATGTATTTTCTTCTGGACATCTATTCGGAAACGCTTTTTCAAAGTTTATTGCTTTCTTTCCCTTTGACTGCATTTGGTAAAAAAAAAATTTAATTGAACGTAAAATATTTTAGTTGCATAATCAACTTTTTTATTTTACAGCATTGGGAACAACAAAAATTATCTCCCCACTATTCTGAAGGAAATTTATCTAGGTAATCAACTATATTCCTACTTATAATATGTATATGCTATGAAACTATTTGTTTAATTCCAAAAAATTGTTAATAATGTATATAGGGCCCTGAAAGATCACGAATACGATAGTGACTCAAATTTAATATTCCGTAAAAAAGAACAAAATTTACAATCACCATTAAGTCCAATTGAACAAAAACAAGCCTATCGCAGTGTACAAGCCGGCGGTGAACCACCATTATTAGGATTTAGAAAACCAGCACCGGAAAAACCAAAAGGTAAGTTAAACAAAATTTATGTTATAAAAAAACATTTTAGTTTTTTATATATAAATTTTTTTATGGTAATGGGGAAAATCAATAATTTTAATATTTTATGATGTATGCAGCTCATTTAATAGTGAAATTCGAGATTTATAATTTATTAAAAAGTTTGTGGAGAATAAATTACACTAAATTTTAATTAAAAATTAAATGCCATAAAAAAAAAAACATTACCTAAATAAATTGGGATTCGCGATTGTACTGCATTTATTAATGTTACTCTAATGGTGAACTCTTCTGTGAATCACAAAACGTCAATATCATAATGAAATTGTCAGTTAAACACTATTAAATGTGATGTATACATTACTTTTTTCTTTGGATTTAAGAATTTTTCTTTATTCAAATATCACATAATATATATTTATGAGTATAAAAGTAAAAAGAATGACTTGAAACGCTTTTCTTAGATAAAATTAAAAATATAATTGAAAAAACTAATCGGAGAAACACATAGAAACAAAATAGCAGTTTCTTAACCAAATAACTTAATCCTTTCTATAGTTGTTCTCTTTTCTTAATGTCAATATATTCTAAACTACTTCTGTATATATATATGTACTTTAAACTAAACAAAATATTGCAATTAAACTTTTCTTATTAAAAAAACATTGGGTTGTGTAAAATTTTTCTAACCTCAAATATTTGTAAATATGTACATGAATATATTTTTCTGAGCAGCATACTTTAAATACATACATAATTTTTTTTTTAATAATTATATATAATATAACAGTTTATTTAAAAATTATTTTATGTAGTGCAATTAAGGGTTAAGAAGGAATTTTCCGATAATATTTAACAAACACTTAATAATATTTGAAGCATTATATTTACACATATACATATATTACCAAAATAATATAAACAAAGAGATATAAACTCCCATAGAAAAATTTAGAATCTAATATGGACCTGATAAAACCAAAATCGATTTCATCGATCAGCTGTTAAAACTTCTTAAGCAAAATCATATTGGATTCTACATTGGACTCTTAAAAATTTTTATGGGGTTGTTTACATATATAGTTGTTTATATTGTACTTACTTTTATATACATATATACATACATATGTATGTACATTTTATTATTAAATTCATATACTACAATTGTATGTAAATTTTTTGAAAATTAATACATTTAGTTAATGGTTAATTGGCGGTAATGAAATTATTTTTAAAAAGTACTAATATTGCTCTCTCATCCATCACATTTTATACTAGCTTTACTTTTCATTTTTAATTGCATTCTAAAAGAAAATAACGGAATTTATATAAAATAGAATTAAAAAAAAAACATTTTAATTTTCATAATTTAACTTTAATAATAAAAAGTGCGAATTCATGTATTAGATGTTCTATAACTTTTCATTTTCATTTCATTTGAAAACCAATGCTTTTGTAATGAAGTTCTTATTTTAAAACAACAATTATTATTAGTCACTCTAACTGTATAAAAAATGAGTAATTTTATATAATCAACATTTTTTGAAAGTAATCAAGCAATTTGAAAGTATTTCTTAAACAAAAAAAAATTTTAATTGATTTTTGTTGTATTGAAGAACACCAAGAAATTAAACACGTTGTGAACTTATACAATTTTTTTTCACGGAATAAGGAACTCAAGCAACATATTAATTTGGCTAACCCTGAGAAAACATGAAGAGAAAGTTTTAGACATTCGTTATTTATTATATATTTTCAGGAAATAATACTATAGAATATTTACCAATTACATCAACTTTAACTAAAATTCGTGTTTACAATCACCCCATCGAAATGGATCGACGATCTAATCTTGGTCCTTCATCATTAATTTCTTCTAAATCATATACTATGTTATCGTCTTCAAGTGCCACATTGAATGAAAATAAAGCAATAATATCACCCCCGACACCACCAAACCGTAATTCTTCTAAAACGCGAAGCAGCACTACAATTCGATCTTATTCGGAAACTAGGAAACAACCCCCTAATCCATCTGATCGACATTATTCATGTTTTCATACGGGTAATAAAACAGAATACGAACCTCAAGCAAATAAATTCGGTACTATAACACTTCGTAAACATGGAAAACGTGAATCAATTTTACAACATCCCACAAGATCTAAATCTACCGGGGCAATAACATCAGTTTTGACATCAAAATTTCAAACAAAAGAAAATAAAATACCAACAATAAATGGTCCATTATCCGGTGACAACTCACGCTCAAGGGCTTATATTAGACCTCATTCGGTTCGTATTAGTACATCAATTAGCCCACCGAGTCGTCCAACATCAAGGCTAACAAGCTTACGTCAATCTAGTCCGAGTCCAATTGCATTTGGCCGAAGTATATCAAAAGAACGCGCATTTGCCGTTGAAAAGAAAAGACTTGAAGAAACACTGCCATTGTGCAAACGTAGTTTTGCATCTAGCACAAACATTCTTAAGGACCCCAGTTTAAAATCACCTGATGAAGTAGTTAAAGCTGTACAAAGTTATGCCCATATACACCCATTAGCACGCAGCAAATCTGTACCCAAAACTGTTTATTCAACATGCTCCAAGCCTACATCAACTTTTCAGCAATCCCTTTCTTCTATTAAAAAGAAATTAAGCTGTGTTGATAAAATACACAGTAAATATCATTCAAACGTCCCGAAAACTTCAGTTTCTATATCTAGGGAATATAAGATATCACATACTCCATATAAACCTAGGGAGCTTACGGTAAATAAAATAAGCAAGTCGGCATCAAAGACAACAGCCCCAACAAGTACGTCTAACTTAAGTTTAGCCAGAAGTAATTCAACATATTCAATTGATTCAACTGGTTCAAAGAAAATTTTGCGCAAACCCATCACTTCAACACGATCTAAATCCCACGAACCTTCTATGAAGCAAATTCCTCCGCCACCTCCTATGATTCAAAGCACAGACGGCAATATTTTAAAGAAAGTCGCTCAATGTTTTAGTAAATCAGAAACCAGCACTGGTTTAAAAAAATTACACCCGGAAACGAATAGACCATCCAATGCTTTCTTTCAAAACTTATTTTTGCATGATTCAAGTATAACATATGAGGACGAAGAATTTGATTTACAACCGACTGCGTCCGTACAAGAACGAGCTAGATATTTCAATACTTTTTCTGAGAAATCTGATAGGCCTATATTATTTACAGGCCGTTATTTAACGCAGAAAAAACCAATTTCTTCCTCAAAATTTGTATCATATCAATCAAGAAGCTTAAGTCCCACATACAGGCGGGAAGGTCAAAACTCAGCATCAGAACAAACCCAACAAGTTTCCACCAAATTAAGAACTATTCATCAAGTTAGTGATGATAATTTAAAAAAGGATGACGAATGCGAAGTTCATGAAAAACTTGAATTGGAATTCACAAAACGAACTCGCACTGAATCAGGATCAAAATTTGAACATGATTTGCCTTATTATGACGATAGTAATGCTGTAAAAATGGAGAAATGCAAGGAAATTAAGAGAAAATCATTTTCACCAACAAGGGAAGTTAGGATCCATCCGAAAGACAGTAGATCCTTTTCACCAACACATCCTCCACTTGCGTCACAACAAAAGCGCGAATTCTCACCAACACGAGAAATTCGTGTAGACCCCGACGAAATTCGATCATATTCACCTCCACCTCAGATAATTAGAAAAAAGTCATTCTCCCCTAGTCCTGAAGTTCGCATTCCACTTGAAGATACTCAGCATTCATATATGCCATATGGATCATTGAAAACAGTCAGATCAAAAACTAGAAAAGAATTTTCACCTACAAGAGAAATTCGTGTTGATCAAGAAGAAGTTTTAACTTCAGTTCGTAGATCTAGACCTCTTGGAAGATCATGTTCCATCAACCAATTTTTTCATGATAAAACTTCAAAATCTAAATTTTCCCCAACACGGGAAATAAGGATATCGCCCAAGGAAGGTCATTCGTATTCTAATATAATAAAAAACACAGTAAAACCTGATTACTCGCCTACACGTGAAGTGCGTATTTCACCTAAAGAATTTCATTCCTACGGAACTGCCATTACTACCAAATCAAAATCAAATGATTACTCACCCACTCGTGAAGTGCGAATTTCCCCAAAGGAGCATCATTCATACGCAGCCACAATTCCAAGACGATCGAAACCCAGAGATAAATCATTTTCGCCAACAAGAGAAATCAGAACTAATCCAATAGAAAACCTATCCTATTCTCCGTCTTTTCCTTCAAGGGCCGTGAAAGATGATTCCTTTTCTCCAACAAGGGAAACTCGAGTGTGTCCATCAATTAAGCAATCGTATGTTCCAATAGAAATTCAAAAACAAAAAAAGCGAAGGGATTCTTTTTCCCCGACTCGGGAAGTTCGAATATTTCCAGGCAGACCCATAGATCAGTCTAGTAGTTACCAATCTGATAACTTGCAAAGGAGAAAAGGCAGACCATTTTCACCCACTCGAGAAGTGCGTACTAGACAAAACCGTCATTCATTTCCATACACACCAGACGATCAAACCAGATATGTAAATATTGAGTCTACAGACTATGACGATGAAATTCATGTAACCATGACGGGAAGTAGGGAGTTCGTGTCTCCCTCTAGGCGACGCATTCAAACAGTTCAAAAATCTGAATCAGCCAAAATTATTCGTGCTAGTAGTTTGAGCAGTGCAGATGACCGTTCCAAACGGGGTCTTTACTACTGCAGTGAGCTTTCTCATAGCGCAAGCTCTTTAAATGAATTAGAAAGTCACGAGAGGCGTTGCAAATTGGCACATTCCGAAAAATTTAGTGATTTACACCGGTTCTACTCAAATATTGAGCGGCATGGTCAATTAGAAAAGGCAACATCGGCTACAGATTTAAGACCTATACGCAGAGAAGGTGAAATATTAGATTTCGACGAATGGCGTAGAATTCGGGCGCACCAAAAAGCTGAGAAAGAAAAAAGTTATATAATAAAAAAACTTAAACAAGACGAAAGAGAGAAGGATTTTTTATTTCGTCCTAAGGAGATCGATGACGTGAAGTGGAAAGATTACACCGATAGTGGACTAAGATGTAAAGAAAAATCTGTTGAAGATATTCGGGACAACTTTGAAATAAAAATGAGAAACGCAGAAATAAAACCGAAGAGCTTTGAAGTCGATTCCAAAAAAGATTTACATAAACCCTTTTGGAGAGGAAGTTCCGTAGCAGATATGGCCACAACAATGGAAGTAAAATATAGTTCTGATAAAGGGTGGGCTCTAAAAAAAAAACCAAAGCCTGTAGAAAGCTTGGGTTTAAGCAAAAAACTTGTTAGCACTCTATCAAAAGATCAAGTGCATACAATCAAAAAGCAACTAAATGAAATATACAGTACTACATCTGGTGACAAAATTCCTTTGGGGCCAGAAAAAAATGAAAATTATGTTATAACAGTCGATAAAATAACTAAAGAACCTCCAGGACCACTCATAGTTCGATGTAATTCTTCTATTACACAGGAAGAGTTACTTGAACCAGTTCTAAGAAGAAAAGAAGCGAAGCAAAAACGTTATAGCCCTGCTGAATCAACAAAGTCAGTCATAAGCAAAAGTAACTCTAGCAATAGTATAAAAACCTCTTCAGAATTTCAAAGAACACAAACATCTAAAAATACCGAAAAAGAAACTATGTCCCCGGGATCAAGTTGCGGTCATGGAAAATATACGGAATCAAGTGCGTCAGAAGCCTCAAAAATTACAGTCATTCATAATGACCAGCCAACAACAAAAGATATAAAAACGACCATCAAATACTTTGAAGAAAAAAAAATGGAAGAACCGCCTAAAACAATTTATCATGCACGCGAAGATTCCTCCCCTGATGAAGAAGAAATTTTAAAAGCAATAGAAAGTAAAATCAAAGATCGAAAACGTCAGCAACAACAAATTGAAAAACCCGTTACATCAATAAACTACCATCGGGAGTTCAGTACTTCTGTATCTGACCTTAAAGAAATATTTGGTGAAACTGAAACATCACGTGTAAATTTTCGGTTACCTCAGCCTCCGCCACCCCCAGATGAAAGCTGTTCATATGAGTCTTATACCGAGCAGTGTCTATCTTTAGACCCAAATTTTCGTGAATGCAATGTTATTCAGCACCATGAACAATTCTCTCCTGTAGATATACATGAGCATCATCAATTTAATTCAATTGATTGCTGTCAATTTAAAGATGTTCGCAGTATAAAAGAAAAATTTGAAATTTCGGAATCACAATTGAAAAAATCACATAGTGATCCAGATCTTAAAATACCTAAACCTAATGAAAATACTGCCAATAAATTTGAAGGGAAATCTCAATATCGCCGCGGTGATGTTTCACACATAACGCATAAATTTGAAACAAAAAACTCCATTGCTAGGGGTCGTCCCAAGGAACGTAAAAAATCAATTTCACCTATACCGAAAATTTCAAAAAAACGTGATGATCGTATGATGCCTCATATAGATATTATTAGTAAAACTGCCGCATTAAAACAAGAAATTCCAAGAAAGAGCGCGACACCTAGTCCAATACCAAAAAATGATGCAAAATTACCATCTGGGGAATTTGATCGTATTCGCTACAAATTCGAGTCACCCGAAAGAAGTCCATATTCACAAATATATTCTTCGAGCCCTGACATAAGTGAATTACGTGATATTTCATCACATTTATCTGGTGATTGGATAGCTCATAAATATCCAAAACATGATTCATTTAATAATAAACCAAAGAAAAAAATAATTCAACATCAACGTCCAACATCATGTTCACCGCCAAGAAGTCGTAAAAAGGTTGATATTTTCGCAAATCAAGATTTTGATCCTTCAAAGCATCGTCCGAAAGCACGTTATGTACCTATTGATGATGAAAACGATTTGAAAGCTCAACAACGATATACAGTGAAAAAAGGTTAAAACAAAATCTTATGCACGTCTTTATTATGTTTTCAAACTTTTTGCACAATATGAAATGTTATCTTTGCACGTTTTAATTTCAGAAATAAAAACACACACTTATATATGATAAAGATCTTTATTTCAGAAAGTTGATATTTCACATTGGAATTGAAATGTGAATTTATTTCAAATAGTATTTTAAAACTGAAAGAAAATTATAAGAACTGTGCTTATTGTAATTTAATGGCAATCAAAGCATAAACCAAATCTCTTTAAAATGCAGTACCGCATGAGTGAAAAGTTATTTAACAGTGATTTCAAGTTTTCCATCTATAATAAATTTTGTGTTTAAAATGTTAATTGTGGAAAACAAACCAAATAATTTAAAAAAATTTGAAAAATTTCCATAGATGATATTGACATATCTTTCTCTTTAATTTGGAACACTCATTATGTCATACTTTAATCAGAACAGAAAATCGAAAATTATTAACGTTCTTCAATGTGTTTTGAAAGTCCTAAAATATATGTACTTATGAGCCCTGAAAGTGTAGGTTCCGCTTTACGAAATGAATAAGAGTTTGAATTTATTTACTCTGTTAGTGCTGATGTTCAAAAGAAAAACTCGCCAACTTGACAATTGCAGTACATCAGGCGTAATTTATTTGGTAAAAGCTTTTTCATATACTTATGTAATTCATTATCATCATTCATTAAAAAACATTTAACTTTTATATATTTTCTAAAGGAATATTGTAAATACATACATACATTCATACATGTATTCTATTATTTTTTTTTTTGTTATTCATATAATTATAACAATATAATGTAGAGCTTAAGGGAATGTAATACCGTTATGCATAATATGTGTATAAGTTGTCTAAGTACGCTAAATAAAATAAGAGTAATGGATAAATTTGTTGTATTATAAGGTAAAAAGAATTTTGTAATGCATTGTTTGTTATATACATACGTAAATGGTTATAACTGCTACTCTTAAGTATAATTATATGTGCTTTATTATTACATGGGGGTATACGTATAATGATGAAAAAAGCTTTAAAAAAATAGAAAAACAAGAAAGCTTTTAGTGTAAGCCAAACGCTATATACAAAAAAAAGTCTTTTTTATATTCTTTTTGTGCTATACCACAGAATTTGATGTTGCACAAAGTGCGCCCTCTAATTCATATGATGATAACAATCCAATTGAAAATGGAAAAATTCCTAATGGTGGTAAGTAAAGAACAAAACAAAAATTTAAAAAATAAAAATTCGTTTTCATAGTGGAGAACCCTTTTCTCCTCCAGTGTGTCCAAAAAATTTAATGAAAAAATTCATTAAAATAAAAAATATACTGTAAATTAGTGAAAAAGAACAGGTGAGAAAAGCATTTAATCAAAAATTCATCACAAAATTTATATTACATTATTTGGTTTAAGTGTTCTCACAATTTTGCACCTTTATTTTGATAGCAAATTGCTTATACATATATTCTTATTACATATTTTGATTTCAAAACTTCTCGTTCATTGAAATTGTACTGTTCATTTCCTGTTTTTTGTTGTAAAACTACTTTAGAATTTCAATTTGCATTTCGTATTAGGTGATATACCATAAAATTTATTTTAAATTCTCATCTTCATCCACTTATTCTGCAGATCATGTATGTAAATAACTTGAACCATTAACGGAGAAATTAAAACAAATATTGATTGTAAATACAGCCTTACTCCAAATCAGGCTTTAAGAGTAAGGCCTTTGAAATTGCGTATAAGTTCCAATTTCCAAAGTTTCAATAGCGCACAACTTTGTTGAGGCGGAAGATTTTTTTTCGGTACGCCGTTTAATAGCAGTTTCGTGTTCAAAACGGCACGCACTTTTCAAAGTAATTTTTTATTTTAAAAACTTTAGTTTATTTGCAACAAAATAAAAATGTGCTTCAATACTGTTAAACTATACTGATAAATAACTATATTTTGTTGCGGTGGTATTTTCAGCAAAACAAAATGGTAAAAAATAAGATGACATTTTGACAAACGCAACTAATTTGAACGAAAAAATTATCAAAAAAAAAAAAGAACACCCACTACACATAGTGCAAGCGTCTATACAATTTACAAATTTTAATTTAGACACATTTGTACATATATACATACCTATATATCTTTTTTATAGTTTTCCAATGCCAAAAGACAAGAACAATGTTGTCTATATACATTCGTTTATTTCAAATTCAACATTATATGTGTTGTTTGTGAATTTAATTTTGGTTTTCATCGTAACGTATCAGCTATATTTGCATTAGTTATAAAATAATACATAACCACAAAAGAAAAAAAATAACATAAAGGTTACATACAGAAAATTTTTGTGAAATAACGTGCGCGTGATCCTTGCACGGCTGCTATAATATATTTATTAAAGGAAAATACCAGCAAATTTTAACCCTTGCAAAATCGATTTTACAAAAATATCAAATAATTAATAATTTATTATTTTTAATTATTTTTTCGTAATAAACAAATTTTATTTATGTAGATTTTATCGGTATATCTTATATAGGAAGTTGGCAATGACCTGTCTAAAATTCAAATATTAAGAGAAGATTACAAAAATAAATTAATCAAATAAATAAATTCAGTATTTCAAATTTAATAATATTTGTAATGATATTGTTATATGCATCACAACCTTATTTATAATAATTGTTTATCGTTTACCCATTCCAAAAATAGTAGTATGTGAAAAATATTTGCTTTTAAAATATGTAGGTATATATCCAGTCTAAACAACATTTGCAATGAAAGGATTAATGCTCACTATTAGCTTGATGCGAAAATATTCTTGTTTTCCATAGTATTTAATATTTTTGCTAGAAAAAATACTAATTATTCAGAAAAAAAGAAAGTAAAAGATAAATTTGAGGTATAATTGCTTATTCAAAAAAATTTTAACTGCTACAATATATATTTGAATAAAATAAATGGTAAAAGTTACCGTAAATTTTGTCGTATATAGGTAAAATTCCACGTATAGATAGAAAAAAAATGTCTTTTAGTAAATTAAGTTTGAAGGTTTTTTATTTTCTTAACATTTTTTGAACCATATTTTGATGCAATGGGGATTTTGAATATTTAAGCAATAAAATTTAGGTCTATACCAAATTCCAAAAATTTATGCAAATATTCTATCGGATTTCACTAATATTATATTTCTCTACTTTTAAGACCTGAAGTGAGGAACATAATAAACTCTATGAAATTTCCCAAAATTTCATGGAGAATAAAATTATTTTAATACTTATTAAATAATCAATATAATGCTAGGATTTTATTAAGAATAATAAGAATTTTATTACCATCAAAAAAAGTATGAAATTTTAAAAAATCTTATAATTTTTTATTAATAATAGAATGTAAAAGTAACATTGTAGAAATCATTGACTCTTAGAATTTGTGCTTCTTACAAAAACTTAACAAAAAAATTACGCAAATGAATATCAAAATAATTTCTCTTGGATCACCCTAATTCCATCCACAATAAATCCAATATTCTAAAAAAAAATAAAAGCACATATGTACTCGTATATTTATAAATATGTACGTCTTCTTTTTATTTACGTAATTTTACCACTTTTAATTCTTATTTTTGCTATTGAAACAAAAATAAAAGCTGAAAGAAAACATAAAACTAAAGGTTTCTTAGGTTTGTTTTGTAAATAAAATGAAAATTCCTAATAGTTTCCGCTTTCATATCATTGACTAAACAACAACATAGAAGTAAACATTATTCTACGAACAATAATATTATTAATACTATATTGGTATTAATAATTAATAATATTCATTATTCAATTTATTTTTATTCAATATAAATAACTTACCTAAAATAAATGAACATATCAAATAATTATCAAAATTCTGGATTTTCATATACAAATAATCAAAATATTTATTATGACGACAATATATCAAATTCATATTTACCAAATTATTATTATAAAAATTATAATAATAACAACAATTTTTATGAATTTGATAAATATGAACAACAGCAAGTGCAACAGCAACCACAATATCATTTTAAAGACATTGATGGTTTTATAAGATCAAAACCATCAAATTCATATTATTCAAATTCAGAATTTAATAAATCTTTACCAAATTTAGTGCATACAAATTGTGATATTGAAAATTGTGGTAAAATTTTATGGTTTAGTCGTAATAATCTTGTTGATTCAAATATAAATGATTATAATAATAGTAATATATTTTATACAATAAGAACAAATACACATGGATTACCCTATACACCATCACCAGAACAACGTAAAAAATATTTAGCTAATCAATATTCTATTGGAGCAACATTACCCCTATTAATTGGAAATAAACGATTAAATCGTTAGTATTATTTCAAATATTTTAAAATATACCATATACCAATTGTATACATACTACTGGCAACTTAAACATTATATATTTGTTAAAATAACTACATCTTCAAATTTTATTTAAACTTAATTATTGTTTATGTATATTTTTAACAAAAGTTATACAGAGAATATTTTATGGTATAACAAATTCAAATATATACTGAATTGCAAATTATGAACATACGTAATAATACACAAAACTGATAATATTTACATACATAAAAGTATTCAATATAAAATTAAACCACATAATTATCATAAAAGTTATAAAAATTGTTATTAAAAAAAAACCAAATTCCAATTGAAAAAAAAATAATAAATACATCAAAATAATTCACAATCATTAGAAATTCACAAACTCAAATAATTTTTATAATTATTATTCCCAAAATTTTAACAAATTATTTTGAAAAATTTTAATTTCCAACTAAACTTCAAATAGTTTATCATTGTAATAATCTGTCATTATTATAATTAAAAAGCAAAAACAAGGATATTATACATATATTTTCTGTTACACGTCATTTCATTCCATAAAATTCCTTAAGTTTGATAAATGACGATTATGAAACAAAATAAATTCGATTGTTAATTGTAACT